GTCCCCCCTCCCCCCTGCCCAACATCCAATAGATGTTATTCTTATCTAAAAAAATGCCTTAATAAAAATATCCACAGTAATGGCTGACTAAGTGTCTGGGCACTGTGGCACAGCCAATTTAACACACAAAATTAACCATCACAGATAGTGACCACCAGATTTTTCCACTGTAAAGGTTTTGTGTTTCCCTTTGCAATTAGCACGTAATCTCCTTTTATTTTTCCCTTTAGTCTTGAAAGTAGTGTGAGTCTTCCAATTCTATTCTCTTTTATGATTTTTTTTTGGCTGTTAAGAGCTCTTCATTTGTCTACATAAATTTTAGAAATAATTGATCAATTTCTACAAAAATTCCTGCTGGAATTTTGACTGGGACTGTGTTAAATCCATAGATCAATTTTGGAAGAATATACATTTTAATATTATTCAGTCTTCCAGCTAATGAAAACATCTCCATTTATTTTGATCTTCTTTAATTTATTCCAGCAACGTTTTGTAGTTTTCAGTGTAGAGCTCTTGAACCTCTTTTTTATTTCTAAGGTTTTTAGGCTTCTTGGTGTACTTATAAATTTTTTTTTAATTTCATTTTCCAATTGTTTACTATTTATAGTATAGAAATACAATGAGTTTTCATATATTGGCCTTATATTTTGTGACGCCACTACATCAATTTCTTCAACATAGTGGCTTTCTTGTAGACACTTCAGGATTTTCTATATAAACAATCATGTCAAATAAAGATTGTTTCACTTCTTTCTTTGCTATCTTCATGCCTTGCATTTCTTTTCTTGACTTATTATTATCTTGGTTAGGACATCTATTATTTAATTGAATAAAACAGTGAAAGTGAATAACCTTGCCTTGTTTCCAGGCTTTGGGGGAAGCCTTCAATATTTAATTACTTATGATGCTAGCTTGAATTTTTTTGTAGATGATCTTCATCAAAATGAGGAAGTTTCCCTCTAAATTCTAATCTGCTAACCTTTTTTGAAAAAAGAAATCATAAATGAATATTCCTAAGGTAGAAACTAAAAATCACTGATTTTAAACTTTTATTCTTTTTCTAATAAACATTCAAAGCTATACATTTTTCTTTTAGCAGTGCTAAGTTTCAGATTTCACTGAACTCCTTTTTGTTCTTAAAACATATCCTACTAAGAAGGTAAAGTTAGAGTACTGTGTTCAAGAGTTGCTTGAAACAATTCTTTTCTCTGTGTCACATATTTCAATCTGATATACTATTCAGTTCATTTGTTTTGGTTTATTTTCAATTCTAGAGCTTGCTTTTTTCTAGCTTCATAAAATTGAAGTTTTCTTTTGAAAATTCTGGAACAGTTTGAGAAGCATTCATATTATCTGTTTTTTGAAAACGGTAGAATTTGTTGCAAAACTATCTGGTTTTATGCTTCAGATAACTTTCTATAATTCTTCTAGAGAAATTCATCTGCTTAAATTTTCTATATCTATTGGGGTTCATTTGATATATTTTTCTACAAAATCATCCATTTCATCTAGGTTTTCAAATTTATTTGCATAATTATATAAAATAGTCTCTTAGGGTTATGTTTTTAAAATTTCTTCTACCTTAACAAGTATTTTCCCCTTGTCATTCCTCAAATTGCTTCAATAATATAGTAAGAGCATGCCAACCACTACAAAAGAACCAAAAAGTGAAGATAACACTTGTAAGTTGTTTTGAGTAGGCAGAGAGTGAGCAGAAGGATCATGATGTTAGTGATTCAGCTTCCTTGGTAATTAAATGGGAATAATACTTCTGGATCCATTATGTAGAAATGCTGAAGATTAACCAACAATATTAAAAAGGTCTGTAAATATAAATGATCCTATAAACCCACTTGTAGAATGAATCACTTATATAATAAAAAGGAAACTATGTCTGAAATATGGAATAGAGCTAACAATAAGGCAAGAGTATGACATACAGTCAATTTTCTATAAACCATCTGAAAATACTTTTTTTGGATCACTTGTGGAAACTTTTAAATTCCTGGGATGCATTTCTGATGACACTAAATATATTCCTGGGCTTCTGACTTCCTTTCTACCTGTTACCATGCCCTACAACACATACACACGCACGCACACTTTTCAGCTAGCATTGGCTCTAGCAATATAAATACCTTGTAATAAGTTACCTTATTTAGAGAGACAAACAAACAAGAAAAATGAAATAAATTCCAAAGTAAAATATAAAGTTTGAGTAATCCACTGATTTTGCATTACTTACACCACTGTTGTTCTAGTGAACTAGAATGTTGGACTATGAACTCTATGTATTACTGCATTTAAGTCTTAAAACACCTTAATGAAGTAGGTGTTATCACCCATTTTGAAATGGAGACACTGAGACTTAGAGCTTAAGCACCTATCTGCCTGCCTTATCTATCCATGATGTTCCTGTTCTCTGGGATTTACTCACTCTGCCCCAAAATGTAGGCTCTAGCTAGCAGTCATTATTCTTGCCCTGGCCATAAATTACCAGATGAGCGTGGATACTGGGTGCCAGCTGGTCCAATTTTTTTCCTTTGAATTGGAATTGGGATTCAGAGACACTAATTAATCCATGCATATAGCTGTAGTGATAACACCTGGCAGCTGTGTGGTACCCATTTTCTGCCTTGGGGACAGAGTATCAGAGTCCGTAGAGATAAGGAAGAATAAAGTAGACACAGGAAGAAATGCAGGGATAAGAAAAGGACACTTCAATTCCTAATACTAGTCCTTTCCTCAAATTTGGCTTCCTTCCTTCCTTTGGCTACTCTGAAACAATCCCATATTTTCTTACAAATTTCTCTTTCTTGGTCAAGCAAGTTCAAGTTGGTTTCTGATATATGTAACTAAAAGAACCTGGACTATAGCTCCTCTCCCTTACATGATAAATGGCAGCTTTCAGTAGAAATTTTTGTGATAATTTTAGAGTTAGAAGATCACAATACTCTAGTACGAGCTGGAGAGATTATTTCCATCTCTGCCTTTATTTAAATCAAACTCAGACTCACGCCTGTAATCCTAGCTCTCTGGGAGGCCGAGGTGGGCGGATTGTTTGAGCTCAGGAGTTCGAAACCAGCCTGAGCAAGAATGAGACCCTGTCTCTACTAAAAATAGAAAGAAATTAATCGGACAACTAAAAATACATAGAAAAAATTAGCCGGGCATGGTGGCGCATGCCTGTAGTCCCAGCTACTCAGGAGGCTGAGGCAGGAGGATTGCTTGAGCCCAGAAGTTTGAGGTTGCTGTGAGCTAGGCTGACGCCACAGCACTCTACCCCAGGCAACACAGTGAGACTCTGTCTCAAAAAAAAAAAAAAAAAAAAATCAAACTCAGAGAAATAAAATGCCATTCCAAAGGTCATTTAGCTAACTAGTGGCAGAGTTGGAACTGTTTTCCTTACCGTTCTTTACTCATTTATCGTGACTAGTTATATGGCTGGAGATTCAATACATATATGTACCATGAGACGAATACTGACATTTTGAAAAGAGGTACAAACCCATTCACACCATGATAAAATTACCTTCCTGTTTTTTTTGTGTGTTTTTTTTAATAATACTATCCCCTCTCAAATCAGATGTTCTCACTTTTATAAAGAGGATTCCAATTCAGAGGTTGGTGGTTTGGAACATGGAATACATTTTCTTATAAAACAGTGTCAAAGATGGTGATTATGGTCCCAAGCTAGCCCCTGTAAAATCTACTTAATCCACAACATAACAATTCTGAGAGAATTCTGAAGGGAAACATACTCTATAATGTGTATTAAAAGCTGAAGTGCCAAGAAGTGTCATTTCAAGAAGTATCTGGGTGATCGTAGACAAGTCAATCTCTCTGAGCTCAGTTACTTTTTCTTAAAAAACACAGTGATTATCAAGACTCAGAACTTCTGATTTGACAAGAACCTTAAAGGTCCACTTTTAATGTCTAAGATATTATTATCATGAAAATTTCAAACATGCTGAGAAATCAGTATAATAAACATCTATAATCCCATCACCTAGATTCAATAATTACCATATTTGCTTTATCCTTTTAAAAACCATTTGAAAGTAAGTTGAAAAAATCATGACTCTCTACTCCTAAATGTTTCAGCATGCGTCTGCTAAGACTAAGGACACATTCCAACATAAAAGGTGCTGGTAAATTGTTTCAGTAAATGGGTATATAATAAAAGTTTTAGGCCATACAATTGCAGCTACTCAACTCTGTTGAAACAGGCATAAACAATATGTAAACAAACGTGCATGGTTATGTTCCAATAAAACTTTACTTACAAAAATGGCATTTAGCCCACAGGCTATAGATTGCTGACCCCTGCTATATAACAATGTTGTTATCACAACTAACATTAACAAAAATTCCCTCATATTATCTAATAATCACTCTATATTCAATTTTTTGCAGTAGGCCCCAAATCTATATCACAGTTGTTTTTTAACCAGGATGCAGTCAAGATTCACACCCTGCCATCGAAGATTTCTTTTGGGAGCCTAATGATTCTATTCTTTTGTTTGTTTCCCTAACAGCTAGGGCCCTGAGTGCCTAAGACACCACAGTAGCAAAGAAGAGATAACACCATGAGAAATAATATCTGGTAACTTTGAAAAATAGGCTATGCATTAATGCATTGCATTTATTTATTTATCTTTTCATTTTTTAAAACTCCAAACATCAACTTGAACCAGATAATGCATTGTATTTAAATCTTAACCTAAAAGAGGTTAAGAATCACTGAACTAGGCTGAAATTTATGCTTGTGAATATAGAATAGTAATATCTACCAATTGTGTATCAATGTATCAATATCTATTCTATATACTAGCCATATATACTATATAAAGTCAACTGTACATCAACAGTAACATCAACTTAATTACAAACCAAGAAACTAATTTAAAAGAAAACTAGAGTTGTGTGTACTCAAAGAAGGGATCTAGTACTTACCTAGAAATAGAACAATCAATAGGATTATAATGGTAAGAAAAGCCTTGTTCCAAAAAGTTGCAATTTTGCCCCAGACAGTAAATGAAAAAATCCTCTGCCATCTGTAAAGCAATACAATTACATCAGATATAAAAAAACCAAAAGAAGGTTTTGAAATACTTTCTAAATACTGAAGTAACATTTTGGTAATTGTGTAGTGAGTGAAATGAATCACAGAAACTTAATTTTTAAATTTATTAATTCTCTGACATGACAGAATATCTCATGAAATAAAGAAAAACTCTTTCAAATTTAATAATAACGTGATATTTGATTATCTTCAGTCTGGTGGCTTAAATATTCTAAAGTGAAAATAATTTTTAAAGTAAACATACATGAGCAAAACCTTAAAAAGGAATTCTTACAGTAAAACGTTATATTGTTGATAGATGCTATTTATATCTTTTTCCATAGTCAGAGTAAGGACTCAGATATTACAAAGATCTGTTGGTCTAACAGCAATATTTCAGGAGTAGGATGTATAACTCTCTGCACATTTATTTTTATATAATACATTTTTAACATCTACTCCAAGTAAAGGAGTTTCTCTACTTTAACCATGAGTGAATTAAAAAAAATTATCCAGGTATTACATATATAGAGCAAAGTGAAAAAATCTTCAATACATAGCTTGATAAATTTTACACACACACACACACACACACACACACACACACACACACACATAATTACTACCCAGATCAAAATCTAAACGGGGGAGATGAGATAGGGAAATAAATGGTACAGATGGGTTGAACAATATAAACGTAGACACAGAGGTAAGAAAGCATGAGTTATAAATGGCAAAGAATGACAAAGTAATCCATCACACAATTGGAAAGGTAATAAACTTTGTGCAGGGCATTTGAAATGAATAACACATTAATTAGTCCAAAGGAGACATATAAAGGTAATAAGCACTTAAATATACTTCAAGCACTTACAAGTTTCATAAAAGTTTCACTTTAACATTATGACAAGTTATTAACTAATACATTAAATAGTATTTAACTAATACTAGTTCCTTTTGTCTCTATAGTTACAATTCTGAGCATTTTATATAGACATTATTCAAATTATACAATATTTCCATTTTTAAGAAGAGAATATAAGTGGCAATACCTTAATCTAGGTCCAAATGTAAATTTGTTTATTTCTTCAAGAAAAACTAGCAGTTTATAATAAGACTCGATTCAAGAGTAGCTAATAATAGCTAACATATATTGTGTCCTTACTATAGTACGGTTCTAAGCACTCTTACAAGTTTTATTTCATTTAATTGCTACAACTACTACAGGAGGTAGACTCTAGCCTACTTCCATTTTATAGATGGGGAAATTAGTCAGAAAAGATCAATATTTCTTGCCCAAAGACACAATAACAGGCAGAGCTGGGTTATAAACCCAAGCCATCTGATTTCTGAGCATGTTCCTTTAACTACTGCGTTATGTGAGAAAAAAAAATTAGCGACTAAATAAAGAATGAAACCTTTTAAGATTATGGTGATACAGCTATAAAAGATAAAAAGATGTGGACATACACATAATAAGGACATATCGCAAATGATTTGTGTGTATCTATACCATATTTTATTACCTATATTTGTACATGAGGGTATATTTATATATCATGTGCACATATATACATGCATCTAACAGATATGTGATCAGGATGGTTAAAAATTATATTTGGCAGGAAAAAAAGACTGAGCCATAATCTATGCATGAATTTGATGGAGAAAAGATCAACTGATACATACATATTTTCTTGCAAATTCTTAAGCCATATTATTTATAAATTAGATGTTTATAAACAATATCTTCTTTCTCTTAAATATATAGGATTCTGTTGTTGCAAATATTACCAAAGAGCAAAAGAAGGAGTGAGGGTTTGAAATAGAACCTACTGGATGAGAGGCAGCACGAAGGAGTAGAAAGAACACTGGACTGAGAGCCAGATTCTTGTCTGGAATCTGCCACTTACCAGCTAGGTGACCTTAGGCCACCTGTCCTCCCTGGGTCTCAGTATATGATCTATAGAATGAGTGGATTGGAAGAAATAATACCTACATGATTTTTTTTCTTCAGTAAGGAAGAAATGATAGTATAGCTGATAGACATGGACAGAAATTAGGAGAAATTTAGGCAGGTAAGTAAGCTAAGCATTGTGAAAGACTACCTGGACCCTGAGCTAAGGTAAAACTTTAAGTTTCTTCCAGTCTCAGGACTTTACTATACTTTAGTGGGTTACCTCTAGGATCTCATTTATAAAAGATTTTTGTTTATGCCATGAGTATGAACAAATGTCTTGCAACATTTTTATGACATATGTATTTCACCATTCATACTATCAAGTTTCTGGATCTAAAACTGAACTGCCCAAACGTGGATTATTACAAGGGTGAAGTGAGCCAATGCTTGGATTAAAATACTGCACTTGGTACTTAAAGACCTTCACTAAGGAACTAATGCTAACATACGGTTCTTATACTTTTCATATTCAGCACTTTAAATATATATATTCACAAATTTTGTGTGAAATAAAAAGTAGCAAAATTGTCATTGAACACTAATGAAACTATTTCTTGGTTACATAAGGCCAAAACTAAGAATCATTTATTGGCTTCAGTTTCTAAATTGCCCTTCGACTGCCTCAATGAAACAGTTTTTCATCCATGCTATACTGTGAACACAACTTACCTATTTGTTTATTTAGTTCACTGCTCCAATTCAGGTCAATAAAACAAAGGTAAACCCGGATGACGAGACAGAACAGGTGTTAAAAGTACCCATTGCTTTACTGTATCCGTAATCAACAGAATCGAAAGTACTAAGACCCCTTTTCCTTATAGAAGGGAGGAAAACGTTACTTCATCTGTACAGATAATATAAAGTTTACATAAAGTGATATTTTACTATTACCTAATTTGTTAGGTGACTTTATTTTGAAAGAGAAACTTTTATACAATCAGCTCTCAAAAGTTGTTAATCTTGAAAGTTTTTCCATTTTACACTAGTGTAAAAGAGCTAACCAAATATTGTTAACGATTTGAAGGTTTCATACCTCTGAGGAGGAATAAAAGGTAGACAGAAGATTATAATGAGTCCTATTTCAGCATAAAGAAAGGTTGCAACTGCCACCCATTGGAGTGTCATTGTTTTTCTTCACACCTAAATAGAGAAACACTTATTTTACTTTGTTTCCTTTCAATGACAACTGGGTTAAAGGCCCCTGGGCGCGATGTTTTTGTCCTGGGGGTTTACCGTGTCCCACCGTCCCCTAACCCGGGATCCCGGCCTTAACCCGGCCAGGAAGGGGTCAAGGGTGGGCCCGGGAGGGTGTGTGCGCTTCCCGGAGGGCGGGCCTTGCGGAACTGGCCAGGCAGCCCGCGGGGCGCCGCCGCCAGCCCCTTCCAGCTTCCCCGCACCGCAGCCGAAAGCCTCCCCCCACCAACGCCCGAGCTTGGAGGCCGCCCGCTACCCCGCCGCGGCCTAGCGCCTCACGCCGCCTCGGGGACCGCGGCCCCCGGGGACTCGCCGGCCTTACCCCATCTAAGGCTCCCCGCGCTGCTCCGCGGCCGCCGACGCGCGGGACGTCAGACGCCACGGCCGGCCGGGCGGGAGGAGGGAACGGAGCAGGGAAGGCCCCACCCAACCCCCCGCAGGCTCCCTCCCCCACCTCGGGCCGAGCGTACTCGCCCCGCTGAGGTCACAGGCGGCCCACTACGTTTATTGGCAGCAATTGTTTTCTAATTGGCGGTGGAGTCGGAGGATGACTCAGACTTTCGACCTGATGCTTGGGGCCCCCAAGCGCAACTTCGTCAGGAGGGCAGGCTTTACATTTCTCATAAAGTGTGGTTCCGGTGGGAGCTGCGGGTTAACCGTGTTCTGCGCGAGTTTTGTGGGGTCCAGGAAGGAGGACTGGCACAAGGGCGGAAGGGTGAGATAGGCTGGTCGAAGTGCTGTGAACGTGTTCAAAACGCACTGCTTTCCTGTTGTCTCTTTTCCGTGTCCAGAATTAAGCTATTTTTAATAATGGGCCAGGATTAGCGATTGTGCAGCAATTTGTTCTCGAGAATGTAGGAGAATCTGTAGTGTCACAACTAACTTTGTAGGTTTTCCCATTCCTGTCCATGGGCTGGGAAGAGGCAATGAATTTTAAGGTGATGTTTGGGGACTGGAAGGAAAGGTGGGTATGAGTATATTCTTTCAGTTACCTCTTCCCCCAAATCTGTGAATACATTAGAATTAACAAAGGTTGTTTTTTTTTTTTCCCCAAGAATGACCACATATCAGGAATGTAAACGTATCCTCCTGGAGACAATTACTTTGGGAACATTAAACCAATGTTGAAAATAGATATAGAATATAAAAACACATTTAAGCTGGTGCTTTTTCTTAATTTATCACAAATATACTTGATCACATGCAACAAAAAAAAGAAAAAAATAGACTTAGGACATAAATTGGCAACCAGGAAATTACTTTTAATCGAACGTTTTAGAGCTCCTTGCCTTTCCTCACCGGTTCCTTCCAAACGCTGTGCACCTGACTCTAATGATGCCGCTGTGTTCACAACACTAGCAGCATTCACTTCAGAGTTAATTTAAAAACATCAAAATGACTAAGTTCTGACCATACCTTACTGTTTGTTTCTATGGCATTTATATCAAAAGGAAAAAGCCAGTTATCTTTAAAAATACATTAATTGAAAAGTGAAAACCCAGAAGGTGCCCAAGAAAAACTATGGCAGCACAGTGTTTATGTTAAAATTGATTCACTCAATTATTCCCAAACTCTTGAATTTAAAAACAATTTTAGATAAATGCCTCCTTATAACAATTTTCATGTTGGCAATATAGAATAATATTTTAATTACAAACTTTTATTTCAATCTGAGATACTTCATTCTTGTAATGCACATTCATAAATAACAAAATCTATTAATAATACTCCCAAACTATGGGACTTTTAAAGTTACAATCAATTGCTGGGAGGCATAAAAATAACAGCACTATAGAGTATGAAAATTAGGTTTTTAAATTAAAAATAAAACCTGGTTACTATTCTCTAGGAAATATTTCAAATATGTAATCATCTCCACGTTGGCTACCAAATTTTTTATATGTAAGATGTGTAGGGTTGCAATTTCTTTTACCTTTTTAGGTACAGGTATTTTTATAAAGCTTCAATCTTTTAAGGATCTAGAAGGCTTAAAATGTACCAAATTTAATGTCACTTAAAGAGTTCCATTGAATGTTAGTTTTATAGAAAACATCACATCTAATTAAATTCAGTTACATACATCTAAAACAAATATCTTAAAGTGTGTCATTCAATTGGGAAGTACTAGTTTGATTTTCCAATTAGAATTTTTAATGTAAGCCCTGAGTGCAATTCTATTTAGAATTTATTCATTTTCATTCTATATGGATGTTAGCACTCATGTACTTCTTGTTAGCTTACAGATTGTATATGAGTCATACTTAGTATTAAAATAAGTTTTATTTAAAAATGTTGAAAACATGATTCCTTTGGCAGAAAAATTTCCATCCCCCCACCCCCAATCCATAATAGGATTCGGAGCAGTTTGGACCTAGGATAACAAGGATATTTGGACCACGTGGAGTCTTCTTTAAAACTATCTCTGAGGATGGGGTTTAGGACGGATTTTTAAAAAATGTTCCCAGGGACTGTTTTTATACTAAAGTTTAAAAGCCACCGATTTAAAGTAAAAACCAAGATATGACCACCTCTAGTTTCATTGTAGGTATAAAATAAAGCATATATTAAAATAATTTAGGAAGTCCAGTTAAATGCCATAATGCTCTGTAAGGTAATCTAAGACTGCTGATGTGCTTGACAGAGCATTAAATATTCTTTTTTCCTGTCTTGAAGTTATCTTTTCCATCATGTACATTAAATGTTGATGGAAACACATGTACGGAGTTCCAAGTTCAAGAGCAATGTCAACCCAGTCCCAGATGCATTTCAGTGGGGTTTCCTCATATCCAGCAAACAGGGCAGGGTTCGCTAAGAGTCCTCTTGCAACCATCACACCTGCAAATTAAAGCATAGCATATTTGTCCATACATTAAGAATCCACGGTTATTAGTTCAAACTCAATGAAAAAAATTGAGAATATTAATAAAGTATTATTATAAGGTTTCACAATGCCTTTATTACATTAGTCTGTTTAATTATAAAACAATTTATTTTGGTGCCTTTTGCAAATCAAGAAAGTTTAAATGTACTTATAGAATTCTTTATTTTTTAAAGATTTCTACATTAAACAATTAGTCTTTAGTTTCTTTAGGATTAATCCAGATTGTCATAAATTGGTTGCTTACGGTTATCTGTATCCTCCCATCTAGCAATCATTGTCATAGGGCTTGACTTGGTATACCAATAATTTAAGGGATAATGAAATTGCATAGCAGTTCTGGGTTCCTTTGGCTCCTATGATCACTCTTGAATTCATTAACTCTGATTTCTATTCTAGGTGTTTTATTTTCCTAATAAGCTATCTGGAAGATTCTCAACTGGTCACTAAATACAATGGTGTCAGAGGAGTAAGTGAATTAATTTACCCCAGTTAAAATAATCTACTGTTTCTAAGTTAGAAGAGTTAACATTATTTTAATAAATTGCTTAGCTGAAATCAGTACAATGAGAAAATATGGCTCAGTGTTAAAGAAAACTAATGAAAGTGACAGTAACATTACTTCCCCATTCTCACTTATTTTTCCTAATTAAAAGATAAAAAAAATCCAAGTATTTATTTCTTACCATCTGTCCTAGTAATCTGCCACACATTTTCTGCTTCCTTTAAGCTTCTGATGTCTCCATTAGCAATTACAGGTATAGACATATTCTCCTTAATTATTTTAATGGCATCATAGTGCACTGGCTGATGTCTTTCTTCAACAGTTCTTCCATGGACTGTAATCCAGGAAACTCCTGTTGCTTCAGCCTTTCGACAAAGATCTATAGTTCTTGGAAGGTCATCATGGATCCTATAATTTCAAAATTATATTTATCTGTTCACAACACATAAATCTTAATCCTAAAATTAATGAACTAAAATGAAAATTCATGTACTAAATTATTTAGTTAGCTTTGCTGTATCGTATTGTCACTTCATGCCACTATCAGTAAGGTTATCTTCAGGGATTAGTTTCCACCCAAGATCTCAAATGTTATTTCACTATTGGTAACAAATAGGATGGAAAACTCTTACCTAGTGCTCCTATCTTTTGGCTTTGATACATGAAAGAGCCATCAAAGTACTGTCATGGATGAATTGAAAGATGCTATCTTAATATTTAATGTGGATGCCCCAAGCCCCAAGTGGGAAAACATAACACTTTACCTTGAAATATCTTTTTAACCTGTCACGAAAAAACTGATTCCTGGTTTATTTTCTTTTCCTTGTGAAATTTTAGTGCAAATATTTTTCCTATTTTCTACTCTTGGTACCAGGAATGTTTCTTAGCATTAATTAAACAGCATGTGGAAAAAGTTGAGGGTTTGGCAAAACTTTTTAATAATAAAGGGAAGTTTTACTTTTTGTTAAAAATACAAAGAGGAAGTTGTTCAGGATTGTAAGTAAAAATTACAGTATATATTCATTTACTAAATGTCTTGTCTCAACATTTCAATATATCAGCTACCGATTTATTTAGGATAGACACTCCCATACCACCAAGAAAAAAGGAATATTCTCTTATTTCCTTAGTAATGGACTACCTTGTCAATAGATTGAAATATTGTCTTTACCTTATTTTAACAGAAACTGAAAATCTGGGGTTTTCCACTTCATTTCTTACTTGTTTCACCATATCTCGAACAAGCTCTGGCTTGTTTATTAAGCAAGCCCCATAACCTTCTGCCATTGCCCACCTTTATAAAGCAAACATAAGAACAAATGAATTATAAATAGCTGGAAAAGAAGATAAAATTCTAAAAGCACTGAAATGTTGGTACATCTGTCTATTTCTCTAGTGATCTGGAATGAAAGCAGATTTTACAAATTCATATATCCTAGCTGGGTGTGGTGGCATGTGCCTGTAGTCCCAGCTACTCAGGAGGCTGAGGCAGGAGGATCGCTTGAGCCCAGGAGTTTGAGGTTGCAGTGAGCTATGATGATACCACTGCACTCTAGCTGGGGTGACAGTGAGACCCTGTCTCAAAAAAAAAAAAAAAAAAAAGGTGGAAAAAAAATTCCTAGATCCAACATTTCTAAGTGGATCAATATGAGATTAGAAAAACATGTTCCCAGATCAAAAAGTACTCAGGGGAAATGGTTTTCATTGGCAAGTGAGACTATTAAATTAAAATTCATTCAACCAAAACAGATTTAAGTATTTGTAATTAATTGCAATTACTTCAGATTTTTAAAATTCCAAGTTTGATGTTTATTGTGTATAACAAGAGGTTTTAGTAGTCTCAATAGTAGAAAGATATTTTTGGCTTCCAGCATTCCAACATCACTAAACAGCTTATTTAACTCACCTAATGAGTATACAAATATGTCTAATCTGATTTGGATTATGCTGTACTTAAAACCTTGATTTTATTCTTTGGACACATTTTGAATTATTGACAGATAACCTAGTATACAGTGCCAGTATGGTAGGGATATTATTGTCAAATTAAGTACATCCTATCAACAATTAAACCCAACCAAATAACTGGTATAGAAAGAAAAGGTGATTATAATAAGACATTTCTGTATGGGAAATTAATTAGGAGAAAACATGTGGTGATTTCCCAAATCACAGAATCAATTTTTAGAGCAAGTATATCTGACATAGCAGTAAAAATATATTTTAGGGATTGCTGTAACTATTAGATTCTCATACAACTACTTAAGGATGAGCTTCAAAGCAGATTCACACAAAAATGCTAGTGGTGAGGGATGTGTAAACACTTGTCAAAGGTCTGTCGTTTCAGCCATCAGAAAAGATTTTTGAAAATTATATTCTTAAATTATATTTCCCTAATTTTTTCCTTCTTGTTTTGAGCCCCAGTGCTTTAACTCTGTTTTTCTTACTTTCTAATTTTTGGAAAACTAGAAAGATATTTTACCATGTTCACATAGATTTTTTTCCTAATCTTTTTGAAAATCCTTCCAACTTCTTTGAGCTTTACCTCTGAGGACAACCACAGTTAATGTCTATTCCATTCGCATAAGGACAGACTATACGAGCAGCATCAGATAAAATTCTTGCATCATTAGCAGCAAATTGAACAATCAATGGGCAATCACCTGATAAAATGAATAGCTCAATATTAAAATTCACAGGGAAAGAAACCCCCATAAACACACACACACACACACACACACACACACACACACACACACGCTCGCAATACCAAAGTCTAATGTTTGTATAGGCTAAAATAACTATTTTTAGCCTAAGAAGCATCTGTTCAAATAAGATAACATTAAAGAAATTTTAATATTTTAAATTAAAAGCAATTTACCTGAGGTAAAAACTCAAGCAGTGCAACATTTGATAAAATGAAAAGGAAAAATATTCCAACATTTTTGATAAACAGACCCCCTTCCCAAAGGTGAGAATTATAGTAGTCCAGAAAAATTTTACTTATACCTGTAAAATTTAAACCAATGTCAATGTTCTATACTACCATGCCTACTGCTCCTTTTTTTCCTGATGTATCTGAGAGATATACTCAGACCTATTTTTTTCTTTTTAGTGGGATATTTCACTGTATATGTTTGGACCAGTATATTTCTATACTGTTTTTTTTTTTATTTGTGACTCTTGCAAGCAATGCTACAATGAGGATGCTCTTGCATACATGTTTTTGTATATTCATAGGTAAATTCTTAAGAGTGGAACTAACTGTTGGATAGGCATTTGACATGTAACACTGTGATGGATAATACAAAATTATCTTCCAAGAGTTTAACTGTAGATACATATCAATATGGAGGAAAGTTCTTGTTTCCTCACAACTTATATATCCAACATTTGTATATTTTTATTTGTAAGCTCTCCTCATATTCTTTGCAGCTTTCTATATGCAATTTTTTCATTAGTTCTTTTTTATATTTGCAATATTTTTTATAAAACAAAGAAATTAGCCCTGCTATCATATGTGTTATAAATTTTTTCCCCCCAGTTTTTGGAGTATATATGTATACTCTTACCTTTGAAAGTTTAAATTTAAATATTGCCAAATGTATTAGACCCTTCCCAAGTTTTAAAGAACATTTTTCTCATTTTTTGGGTTAGTGTTATAAACTCTGGTGAGGTGTATTTTAACATGTCTAAAGTTCTTTTGGGGACTACCTGTATGAGATTCGCAAGGTGTTCATCAAAATGTAGATCTGGGCATCACCCCAGTCGCACTGATCCGAGATTTCTATGGCAATCCACTGATTTACAGGAGTCCAGTGGCATAGGAGAATTTGTTTTTTTCTTTATGGAGATGTAGTGTGCTTTCCCTTTTGTAACTCAAGTTACAGAATTTCAATTTAACAAACATTTCTTGTCTTAATATATTTTCAATGCTGTGCTAGATGCTGAGGATACAAATCAAGTTATTTCTATAGCACCAGCCCTCAAGGAGCCCAAAATCTAGTGGGAGAAGTAGACATATAAAAAGGAGAATTATAATACAGTAGAATTTATTGTACTATAAGAGCCTATGCTTAAGATAGAAAACATGAGTGGAGGGTGATCAAAAAAGGTTCCTTGGCCACAACTTTGAGAGCTGGATTAAGAAGCATAACTATAGTTTGCCAGAGAAAGAGGGATCTGGGAGATAGGTATAATTGGGAAGGATATTCTAGGCAGGGAACTGTGGGACAACAGGGCATGTTCAGGGACTTAAAATGATTTAGTATTTTTGAAGAATAAAGTCCGTGGGCTGTGAGGAGAAACGGATGACAGATAAGGCTGCAGAAGATGTATCTGGAGGCTGGATCATGAAAGACTTTATATATTATCCTAAGGTGCTAGAATTTTAGTCTTTAAGCTAGTGGTTCTCAACCTTTAACAAGCTCTGAATTGTCTGGAGGGCTTTTCAAAACACAAATTGCTGGACCGCACACCCAGAATTTCTGATTCAGTAGGTCTGGGATGGAGCATTTCTAACAAGTTTCCAGGTGATGCTGATGTTGCTGGTCTGGAAATCACACTTAGAGAACCATTATTTTAGGCAAGAGAAGTCCAGGAAGGATTTTCAAGAGGGAAGAGATAAGATCAAATTTAGATAGGTCACTTTGGGCTATTTGGAGGATAGTTTGGAATGGGACGAGACTATAGTGAGACAGCAATCTATTCTAACACCCCAGTGAGAGGATGGGGCCCTTAAGAAACGCCAACCTTATACTTTGATATATCACAGACAATTTACAAGGTATTCAGTAATAATATATTAAAAATACTTACTGAAAACATTTAAAATATTAAAAGCTTTAATACATAATCACTAAACTGTATTGTTTCTCATAAGGTAGATGAGTTTGTAAAAAAATTAAAAAAAAATTTTTACAAAGTCATTAAACTACAGGTTTCACATACCTTGGTTTGTGGTAAATTCACTGTCTCTGGCTTTTATAGATCTGACAAAATCAGCAGCAACTATCATTGGTGTATAACACAGATCACAACTGTATTTTCTTACTAGTGTTCTGAAAGCCAACCTGTGAGCATATAAAACCTTAATTATGCATTTAACAAACATCATAATCATATGTATTTCCAGATTTAATTTAGTTAATTATTAAATATTTATTAGGGAAATTCTGCCTATGGTAAGATGGAGATTTACTTTTTCCTATTCTTCTTGCTAAGTATAATTAAAAACCCTGGACATTATATATAACAAACACAAGAAAAATTTGAAAGGCAGAAAAGAGAGCAGACAGGTTGGTGATCTCAGGACCTAAGAAGTGACAGAGCAGTGAGTTCCCTGGGTTTTCTTTTTGCCTTAAATATCCCAGACTTTAATCTGCCATGGGATTAGAGTTAAAAAAAAAAAAAAAAATCCCAGACTTGAAGTTGAAGAAGCTGGCCACCTGGAAACACCCATGGGTGCAGACAAAAACAGCCCCAACAAAAATATGCTCTAACCAAAAGACCAGGAAATAGGCAGCCTAGAAAGACAGAAAACTTTTAAATAGTAGTTCTACTCCAGCCAAACAATACAGAAAAAGCTATGGTCTCACCTCTACTAGAAAAGTCTAGAATCTGCTCCAACATTGCATTGTGGTGGTGTCTAAGAAGGCCAGAGAGGGATCTGGGACTTTCATCCCTGCTGGCCACCGAGCACCCTCCACCCCTACCTGTACCCAGCAGGATCAGTGGAGACCACATAGGGAGCCTGGACTTCCATGCCTACCCAGCAGTAATAAAGTATCCCTCTCCTTCTCTGCTGGGTGTGGTATCAGGGGAGGCCTTGTAGAGAGTCAACACTTTCATTATTGCCCAGCAATTACAGGGCTGCTCCCACCATGGGGAACTAGAACTCTCACTCCAGCCCAGCCGCAATGAGGGGCTCCCCATCCCCTAAATGTCAAAGGAGGCAAAGTGGAGAACCTGGACTTTTACCTGACAGTAATGAGGTGGCACCAGCCCCCTCTACCTTTCCCTACTGGAACTGTGTTAGAAAAGGCCAGTTAAAACGTAAGGTTCAATAGTCAAAATCAATTGATGTCATCTACCATGTTAACAGGCTAACGAAGAAAAATCACATGATCATATCAATGCAGAAAAAGCATTTGACAAAATACACTCATTTATAACAAAATTCTACAGAACACTTTCCCCCTAGACAGGAACAAGGCAAGGATGTCTGCTCTCATCACTCTTATTTAACATAGTGCTGGAACTTCTAGTCAGTGTAATAAGGCATGAAAAAGAAACAAAAGGCATATGATTGAAAGGAAGAAATAAAACTATCCTTATTTGCAGGTGACATGGTTGTTTACATAGACAATCCCAAGGAATTTTACCAAAAAAACCGTAGAACCAATAAGTGAGTTCAGCAGTTTGCAAGATATAAGATCGACATATAAAAATAAACTGTATTTCTATATACCAGCAATGAATACATGGACACCAAAATTAAAAATACACTACCTACAATTGCTCAAGAAAAATTGAGTGTCTTAGAAAACATGTACATAACTTATATGCTGAAAACTACACAATGATGATAGAAATCAAAATCTATATCAATGGTGAGAAATACTGTGCTCATGAATTGGGAGACTCAACATAGGAAGTCAATTCTCCACAAATTGATATACAGCTTTCACGGAATTCTTATGGAAATTCCAGCAAGACTTTCTGCAGATATAGACAAGATCATTCTAAAATTTATTTGGAAAGTAGGGGAACTAGAATAGCTGAAACAATTTTGAAAAAGAAAATTAAAGTGAGAGGAATTGGTCTACCTGATTTTAAGACTCATTATATAGCTACAGTAATTAAGACTGCATGGTATAGGTGGAGGGAGAGACACATAGATCAATGGAACAAAATAGAAAACCCTGATTTTGGAAAAAGAAGCAAAGGAATTCACCAGAATAAAGATAGCCTTTTCAACAAGTAGAACTGGAGTAATTGGACCTCCACAGGGGAGGAAAAAAAAAAAGAACCTCAACCTAAGTCTCACACTTACACAAAAATTAATTCAAAGTTGATCATGGACTTAAGTTTTATACAGAACATACAACTACAGCTGGATGTGGTGGTTCACACCTGTAATCGTAGCACTCTGGGAGGCTGAAGTGGGAGGATCGCTTGAGCCCAGGAGTTCAAGACCAGCCTGGGCAACATAGTGAGACCCCATCTCTTTTAAAAAGAAAAACAAAACAAAACGAACCCCATAAAACTATAAAACTTTTAGAAAAAAATTAGAAGCAAATCTTTAGGATCTAGAGCTACACAAAGGTTTCTTATACTTGACACCAAAAGCACAGTTTACAAAAAAAAAATTAATAAACTGGACTTCATTAGAATGGAAAACTTTTGTTCTGCAAAAGATCCTTTTAAGAGGATGAAAAGACAAACTACAGATTGGGAGAAAATATTTGCAAACTACCTGACAAAGGTGTAGCATCTAGAATATATAAAGAATGCTCAACATTCAATAATAAAGAAGAAAGCAAATAACCTGATTCAAAAATGGGCAAAATACTCGAATAGACATTTCTACAAAGAAGATATACAAACAGCCAACAAGCATACAAAAAGATGCTTAATTGGCCGGGCGCGGTGGCTCACGCCTGTAATCCTAGCTCTCTGGGAGGCTGAGGCGGGTGGATTGTTTGAGCTCAGGAGTTCGAAACCAGCCTGAGCAAGAGTGAGACCCCGTCTCTACTAAAAATAGAAAGAAATTAATCAGACAACCAAAAATATATAGGAAAAAGTAGCCGGGCATGGTGGCGCATGCCTGTAATCCCAGCTACTCGGGAGGCTGAGGCAGAGGGCTCACTTGAGCCCAGGAGTTTGAGATTGCTGTGAGCTAGGCTGATGCCATGGCACTCACTCTAGCCTGGGCAAAAGAGCGAGACTCTGTCTCAAAAAAAAGAAAAAAAAAAAAAAAAAGATGCTTAACATCACTAATCATTAGGGAAATGCAAATCAAAACCACAACTAGATACCACTTCATATCCATTAGAAAGGATATAATAAAAAAAAAACTCCTAGAAAATAACAAGTGTTGAAAAGGATGTGGAGAAATTAAAACTCTTGGGCACTGCTGGTGGGAAGGTACAATGGTGTAGCTACTAGGGAAAACAGTATGGTAGTTCCTCAGAAAATTAAACTCAGAATTACCATATGATTCAGCAATTCCACTTCATGGTATATAACCAAAAAGAATGGGAAGCAAGGTCTCAAAGAGATACTTCTACAGCCACGTTCATAGCAGCATTATTTGCAATAGCCAAAAGGTTGTAGCAACCCAAATGTCCATCAACGAATGGATAAACAAAATGTAGTATACACATAAAATGGAATATTATTGAACCTTAAAAGGAAGGAAGTCTGGTATATGCTACAAAAACTTGAGGACATTATGCTATGTAAAATATTAGTAAAATAAGGCTAGTTTCAAAAAGACAAAATATTGTGTGATACCACTTATATGAGGTACCTAGAGTAGTCAAAGTCATAGACAGAACGTGGAATATGGTTGCCAGGGGTTAGGGCGACGGTGGAATGGGGAGTTACTGTTTAATGGGTATAGAATTTCAGTTTTCTAAGATGAAAAGAGTTTTAGAGGTCAGATACATAGTGTGAATGTACTTAACACTACAGAACTGCACCCTTGAAAATGAAGAGGTAAATTTTATGTTATGGGTATTTTACAACATTTAAAAAAAATTTTAAAAACAAACTCAACAGTAAAAAACAATCCAATTAGAATATGAGCAAAAGACATGAAAAAACATTTCTTCAAAAATATACAGATGGCAAATAAGCACATAGAAAGATGTGCAATATCACTAGTTATAAAGGAAATGAAAATTAAAGACAAAATGAGGTATCATTACATACCTATCGGAATGGCTAAAATAAAAAACAGTGACATTATTAAAAGTGGGTGAGAATGAGGAGAAATTGTTGGTGAAAGTGTAAAGTGGTTACTGCCACTCTGGAAAAGTTTGGCAGGTTTTAAAAAAACTAAACATACAACTACCAAAGGACCCAGCAATTGCACTCCTGAGCATTTGTCCCAAGGCAAATTTTTGTGTTCACACAAAAATCTGTACATGAATGTTTATATCTATTTAATATCTACTATATCTTTATAGGTGGGTGTTACAGCCACCACCATTTTTATAGCTATAGAAAGTGAAGCTTGAAGAGGCTAATTGTTTACTTAGGGTCACAAATATACAAGGCAAGTGGTAGCACAGGACTAAATTCTAGATTATGATTCCAAAGCTAGAAGTTTGCAGATTCCATGTAGTGGGTGGTCTTATAGTACTTTAAAAAATTCAGGGCATAAAAGAGAAATTTCATCTTAACTCATTAACCATTTAAGAGTAAGCACTTACTTTGAATATCGAACCATAGGGGCACAGACTTTTACAAGCTGCCCAGAATGAAACATTTCTATTGGATCTTTTTTTCTTTCTTGACATATTGTGGTTTGTATGCAGTCACTCTTCATGAACACAGATTTGTTTCAAATCTGAAAAAGACAATCGGTTTGCATAGAGAAAGCGTACTTTGACTAGATGAACCCCCATTGATCTAACAATTTCAATTGTGAACATATTTTTTATCAGGCTTGTATGCTCAGAAATATTTTAGCTTCTTTTAACAGTTTCAAATAAGATACCACAGAATTCTGCCTCTATTTATAACATAAATAAATGTGGAAAACTATAGAAGATGGTGGAAAAACAAGATGTGGAAAACGACAAGATTTCTTCCTAGTGTACCATGTTATGATTTTTCATGTTACTTATAATTTTTTTCATGTTACTTTGGGAATGATAAATCAAGAAATTTGATTTGAATTATTTCATATATAATACTCTGTATGACTGGAACTTTATAATACCTTGTTTTATTGAGGAAAGTTAAATGGCATTAACAGAACAACTCTAAGTAGTGAGCATTTCTAAAGATATCCTGGTATTTTTTATTGTAATTCTCCAATCCTATTCTTTGCATCTGTGAATCAGAAGGTAAACAAACCTTATTTTAAAAAACTTAAATGTGGTATTATCCAAAAATATTTCAGCTGTAATCTATACATAACTGCACAGTAAATCACTTTTATACCCCGAGGTACAAGTGATGATGTTTTATATTTGTGATAGTTAAAATCCTATCATTTCATATTGTTGGCTACTTTTCATATTCCAATTTTTGGCCTTAGTAACTTAGAAACAGATATGGGCCAACTTTAGAAAGGTGTAATTGCTCAAAATTGAGAGTCTTTAAACTTTAGGTAATGAGGTGAAACTAAAAACGTGGTCAAGGTACCAAGCATCTTGCAAGAAATCCTTCGAAGTGCCAACATTTAAGTAACAGGTAGAGGAAAAGAGGATTGCAAAGGAGACTGAGACAGATGAACTTTGGAGCTGGGAGGAATAAACCTAAAGAGTGACATTCAAAAACCAAGAGAGGAGAGACTATTACAAAAGAGGGAAAGGATAAACATCTTACACATCATAGAAAAAGTAAAAACAGAAAAATGCAACGGCAATACTGTCATTAGTGACTTTAGCAAGGTCGATTTCATCCTTATTCAATGGTGCTAAGACCTCACGCAACATGTATTTGCTGAAAGAATAAATGAGCAGCTCTCAACGTTGGTTGTACATTACAATGACTTGGGAGGTTTTAAGAATTAGTATGCCCAAGCTATACTCTAAACCAATTAAATCTGAATCTCTGGGTTTAGGATGCAGGGATCAGTATTTTTTAAAGCTCTCCAGGTGATTTCAATGGGCAACCAAGCTTGGAACTACTGGAGTAAGTAAATCTATAGCACCTGGAACAACTGTTTAAATGGGCTCCTACCTTATTAGCTCTTGGGATACAGATTGAGTTTGTAAACTCATGCCAGTATGTATAGTAGGGGCTCAAAACTTTTCGTTGTAAGAATATGCACGCTTCCAAAATCTTCCCATGGGGGGGAAAAAGCGCCAAGGAAGGAAAACTAACACACGAGACTTCCTCACCTCAGTTGTTAAGAGTATTAAGTGCGTTTAGACTTAGAACTTAGTACTAAGTATTTAGCACTTATATAAAGTACTTAGAACACCGTTTAGCACAGGATAAGTACTACTACAGCACCTTCTTGAAATACTGTTAGCGGAATGTAGAGAACTACGTAGCTCTGGAATTATAAATTGGTTTCCCGGGTACACACCTACTGTACAAAGTGGAAAAGTTATATTACGGCTTCTTTTTGCGAAGAAATGTTTAAGACCTTGTATACATGTGGTTGACCCTGTTTATTTGTCAGTATTTCTTATAGGAAATCCAGGTCAATAATACAGATATATTAGCAGAGAAGATATAAATGGGAACCAAACTGACGATTTTACAGTGTCAATACTATGAGCTGAGACATGGACAATCCATCGGTTTGTAACTAAGAACAAGTCTGGCGTCACTCCACAGCACATGGTTTAAACTGAGAGGAAGAGGTAGAAAAAGCAAAAGGTCAAGGTCTCTGGGAAGGGAGGGCAGAGACAAGGAATTCTACTTGTCTTTTCACGGTTGTCTGCCTTCTTCATCTACTCTTACTAATTCTTCTCACTGTTCATCCCCAGCAACTTTTTATTCTCAAGCTTTTCCCGCGGGATTTTACCCCAGGATTGCGAATGAAGGCGTGGGACAGACAGAGCTATGCAGCAACTAACTCCCGCCTGCTCCGAGTGTGGAGCGTGAAGGAAACTCCTAGAAAGCCCGGCTCTCCTCTCCAGCCTTGCGCCACGAGGCCCGTGTTCTCAGGTTTAAATACTTGCTTTAAGAGGGACGCGCTGCGGCCACGTTCCGGCGCCCACCTTCTCTTTGGCCGGGTGAACAGCGCCAGCCCGGGGGCGCGGCGGCAAGAGATGGCGGAGAGCGCCGACCGGCGGCCTTGGCGCCCTCGCTGCGCTGGGCCCAGAGTGCTCGGGCCCTCGGCGCCCCACTGCTCTGGTATCCTCGCGGCTCCCGGCCAACGGCCAAGTCCTTCCCCAGGCCGGCGTGGAGCCGCAGGCTGGAGGGCCGGGCGGCGCCGGGATTCTGCGTCACCGCCTGGGCGGGGTGGACCCGCCACTGACGCCATCAACCCGGCACCTGCCAACATGGAAGGTGGCGACGGCAGCGTCGCTGTGCCTGGCCTTGGGGCGCTGGGCTCTGGGGCGGCTGCAGCGACAGTCCGGGAGCTTCTGCAGGATGGTAAGGAGTCGGGGTCTGGCAGGGTCGTGTGGCTGGGGGTTGCCCTGCTCCGCACCTGGGCCAGGGTTGTGGAGTCAACCCGTCGCTTTGCAGAAAGTTTTCCGTTCTCGATGTGACCACTCCCCTCCGCCCGGCCCCCTGGCGTCCGGGTACTGGCCTAGCCAACCTGTTTCCCCACGGACTTGCTCCCTTTTCCCTTCCAGTGTCTTTGGGACACCTTTCTGGTTGCTCCTCATTGCAACTCGACCCTCCCACCCCTCACGCGCCCAGGGTTTCCCTGAAGTTACGAGACCCCGCACCAGTGGCCGACGTTGGCAGCCACCAGCTGCTGCCGCAGTTCTTGACGATAGGGTGAAGCGTTCCAACCCCTGAAAAGTGTAAGACCTAGAACAGATGACAGGCACTCAATGAAATAAGGGCTCGTTTTTTAAGTAGAGTTGGAAATGCCTACTCCTTTAACAAATTTTTGGGCTGTACAGGTGGTCCCTCTTGCAGGCTTGTTTGCTTTTTTATGAGGCAATTATCCACAATCAGACAAGGGGGGGGGTTTGTAGCATTCCTTCAGGTTAGGATTAACTGTTTTGAATATAGCAGATTTATTGCTAGTCAGTTTTGGTGAGAAGTTGCCCAAAATAAGAAAAGTTAAATATAGTACACTTGAAAAGCACATTTAATTGTATTAATCCAGTTACCATGTCCTGAATCTCTTATCCTTCAGAATAAAGTTCAAACTTCTAAGCATAAAAATAAGGCCTCTTCTCACCTGTTCTTAATTTTTTTCCCCTAATGGCCATCACATTCTACCTTGTATTAAAATCATTCATATACTTGCCTTAATCTCTTTTACTATACTGTGAAACTTTTTTTCTTAACATTCCACAATGTGCATAGCAGTATCTTGCATACAGTAGGTGCAAAATACATGTTTTTCGTTTGTTTTTTTAAAGACGAGTTTTGCTTTGTTGCCTGGGCTAGGGTGCAGTGGTGTGATTATAGCTCACTGCAGCCTCAAATTCCTGGGCTCAAGCAATCCGCCTCCTGTCTCAGTCTTCCCAGTCGCTGGGACTATGGGTGAATGCAACCATGCCTGACTAATTTTTATTTTTTTGTAGAGACAGGGTCTTGCCATTTTGCCCAGGCTGGTGTTGAACTCCTGGCCTCAAGTGATCCTCCTGCCTTGGCCTCCCAAAGTGCTGGGATTACAGGTGTGAGCCACCACGCCTGGCCTAGAATAAATGTTTTTTAAACTGAACATCACTGTAAGATGCATGTATACACATTTGTAGACCAAAATGGGTTATAATGATTGAAATAGTTATTTTTTTCTTATTTCCTTGCACTGACTTGGGAGAAATAAAGTTGTAAATTATTGTTTGTTTTCTGTGTGTTTTATCATTGTCCTTAATTACTTCCCTTCTCATGATAATTTCTATACTTTTGTCAAAACCAGTGATGTTGTTTTCTGAACTAGATTGTGTTAGTTTCTCTAGGTTAGGTTCTCTAATATATCTTTGTATCTTCTTATTTTTTTTCTTTTTACTTTCATTTTTTCTTTTAGAGACAGGGTTTCACTCTGGCACCCAGACTAGAGTGCAGTGATGTAATCATAGCTCACTGTAACCTCAAACTTGTGGGCTCAAGCAATCATCTTGCCTCAGCCTCCTGAGTAGCTAGAACTACAGGTGCATACCACCACACCCAGCTAATTTTTTTATTTTTTGTAGAGTCGGGCTATGTTGCCCAGGCTGATCTCAAACTCCTGGCCTCAAGCGATCTTTCGGCCTCAGCCTCCCAAAGTGCTGGGATTACAGGCATTAGCTACTGTGCTCGGCCTGTATTTTAATTTAAATTCAGTTTAATCAAGTTTGGAGCTTCTTATATGTGTGCAATCGGTGCTCTCAAGTAGTGCACCATCTAGTAGGGGAAATAATCTTGTGGACCTATAAAGGTTGGCACTGTAATATAATGTTATAAGGGTAGCAGTAGGATTGTGTACAAAGTAAAGCATTAATACAGAGGAGGCTGATAACTGGTTGAGGAGTGTCAGGAAAAGCTTTCTAGGTGGAGTGGTTTTGAAGTGTATATAGGTCTTACGCAAGTAAACAGTGAAAGGAACAACGCAGGCCAAACAATGGGTTTATGTTTCACTAAGATGCATTTCAGGAATTGTAATCAGTTCTTGGAGGGTTCTTTAAAGAAACTCTTTCTGTAAAACAAACAAACAAACAGAAAAAAACTTTACCCTTTTCAAACCTCTTTCTTCAAGCTAAACAAATAACTTTCAATTTCCCTAAAAAATAGAATCCATCAGATGTGAACTTTCTCTATTTCTTGCCATAACCTATAAACTTAACCTGAACCCACAACCATCCTTTGCTCCTTGTTTCCCCTGCATTTTCAATTACATAAGAAGTGGAGTCTCTGCTCCTTCCTAGTGATAGTACCTCCTGTTGCCTTTGGGTTTTCTTCCTGTCTTCTCAGGAACCCAATCACCTCCAAGCTATGCCATCGAACTCACTTTGCAAGATTTCCAGTGACTTCCTTGTGGATAAATCAAATGGATACTTTTTTGGTCCTTATTTTACTTTAACTTGTAATAGGGTTTGACTGGTTTCCCTCAAGTGGCTTATGGGATCCATGCTTTTTAAAAATGCCTAATTCTTTAGGTTGTCTTTTCCAATTTCCTGCAGATGCTTGTCAGTTTGGTTTGTCTCTACTGCCCCCTCCCACCTCCAACATTTAGCATTAAGCATTTCCATTAGTAACCGTGATTCACTGTATCAGGGATTTATCAGGATAGGATTGGCGAGCAGACGCATAGCTTGAAAATTTGTGAAGTGTTTCTGATGTGCTTACTATGGGATGAAGAAGCTATAAAAGAGAAGCATTATATGATTTATCTAAGGATTGTCAGTCCTCATTGTGTTTGATCTTTGGAAGCTCTTTGATACTACTGACTGCTTACTTTCTTAAACTGTCTCTTCTTTTGGCTTTTGCTGTTCTTTCCTGTTTCTTTTTCTTTCTCTCGGAGCACTCTTTAGTCTTTTTGGTTGCTTCCATTTTCTCTACCCATCCCCAAATTTTTGGTGTTTTCCTGGTTTCTGAATCCTGTTTTCTCCATTTCTCTGTTTGTTGTGCATTCTAAAATTTTTTCCTAAATCTTTTGGTCTTTTTTGTGGTTTTTTTATATGGTCCTTTGTTCTGAACTATAGAACTATATTTCTAACTGTCTATTTGACATTTCTTTTTTTTTTTTGAGTCTTGCTCTGTTGTCCTGGATAGAATTATCATAGCTCACTTTAACCTCAAACCCTTGGGCTGAAGCAATCCTCTTTCCTCAGCCTCCCAGGTAGCTGGGACCACAGGTGCATGCCATGACAGCCGGCTAATTTTTCTATTTTTAGTAGAGACGGGATCTTGCTCTTGCTCAGGCTGGTCTTGAACTCCTGAGCTCAAGCAGTCCTCCCGCCTCGGCCTCCCAAAACGCTAGGATTACAGGCGTGAGCCACCGCGCCTGGCTGACATTTCTATTATATCTTGATAGTGAACAAGCACTACTAGTTCTACATGTGAAAACCTACAAATGAATAAATAATACAAGTTCTACATATGGAAAAATGAAATGAATTCTTTTTTTTTCATTCCTTCTAACTTTTTCCTCTGGTAGTCTTCATTACCTATGTTAACTATGTGGTTAGTTGAATGTGTGCTTGTTCCCCAGGTAGATTATGAGTTCCTTAGAAGCAGAGTTTTGTTCATATTCATCTTCGTATATTCAGTGCCTAGCGGTCTAGCTTAGTGCAAAACTGAATTTCCTATGTCAGTTACTTAATCAAGAAAGTTGGGAATCATCCTTGATTTGCTCTACCTAATCACCCATTTTTAGCTTGTCACCAAGTCCTCCTACACATTATACTGTCTGCATATTTGTCAAATTTGTCACTTCTTTGACATTCTTGATGCCACTCTCTTATCCAGGCCTTCATTATGTCATTTAGGCTTTTATTGCAGTGCTTTACTAGCCCCTGTGACTCTCTTTCATGTGTGTGCTGGTAAATCCGCTTTCTGGGAAAATAGAAAAAGCCAATTTTGTAGTGTTTGGTGATTTCCATGGTATAAATAGTCTCACTACAGTCAATGTTACGATACCTACATATAATGACAGTTGGCTCACAGAATTCCTGAAAATTTAACACTTGGCTCTCAAGAGCCAATATGAGCCAACTTCAGCACACTATTGTGTGACTAATCCCTTTTCAATCATCATCCATACCATTGCCAGAATTGTTATTCTAGAACACAAAGCTGACAGTGCAGTTTCTTGACTTAAAATGAGTTAGAACATTTTAGGTGTCTTACAAACCTCTTTTCAAACTGCCTTCCAACCTTTGGAACCTCATATATCATTTTTTACCATTTCTGCCCAAGATATATGCACTATGATCTAGACATACTGAAGTCAATATTCCCCTTACTTCTCAAAATATGCCATGGCATTTGCTGCTGCTAAACCTTCCCTTTACCTGGAATGGCCTTCTCCTTTGATTGACTGGTAGGATCCTTAATTCTGAGGACCACTTGGCCAAATTAGAAGGAAATGTGGTCCCAGAATTAAAAAGTAGCCAAAGTACCAGTTTCCTTCTTTTATTTCATTACATTTTGAAAGTAGTCAAAAATATGAGTCTTTACTTTGAGCAGAATGATATTTTCAGCTGATGTATAGATTCATTAATTCATCCAACCAATATTGAGCACCTACCATGTATCTGTTCAGGTATTGGGGATGTGGTAGTAAACAAAACAAAGACCTTAGCTTCATGGGACACACATTACAGTGGATATACACAATTTAACTTTTCTTATAACTATTCTATTTTGCTAGTTTCATAATCTGTCAGGGAACCCTTATCTAAATCTACCATATTGTTAGCAGGTTGTGGTATATACTTACCTTGAGCTTATGTCTGTGTATCTGTTTTTGATTTCTATTTCTCTTTTTTTTTTTTTCTATTCACAGATTTGTAAATTTCTGCATACAAAGATATCTTCTTAACATCTAGCATCACTTTTTCTTGTCTATTAAGGGTCTATTTGAATAGCTTTTCTTTCCATTTACTTATTTCACTCATAAATCCTAAATTTCAGTAACACCTGTAAGTTTGTATTTCTTATTTCTATTAAAATTCTAGATTCACTTAATTATAACAGTATTTGTGCATTGATCTAGAGATATATGCAGCTATAAGTATTATATTAATATATAGCCAATTTTCCTGTTCTCTTTTCATTGGCAACAATCTTGTTTTCTTGGATTAAAGGCTATGGTTAGTACGTTTTTAATTTTTTTTTTTATTTTTAAATAGAGACAGGGTCTCACTCTGTTGCCAAGGCTGAAGTGCAGTGGCTTGATCATAGCTTACTGTTAACCTTCAACTCCTGGCCTTAAGCGATCCTCCCACTTCAGAGTAGCTTGGAGTACAGGTGTGTGCCACCAGGCCTGGCTAATTTTTTAAAAAAATTTTTTGTAGAGACGGGGTCTTGCTATGTTTTTGTGGGCCTGGGCAACATAGTGAGACCCCTTCTTTACAAAAAATTAGAGGCCTTAGCCTCCCAAAGTGCTGGTATTACATGAGCCGTTGTACCCAGCCTGTGAGTCACTTTTCTCCACCTGTGTTTAATCTTTTACAATGTTTCCCTTCCTTTTGAGTCCCTACAAAAGTAAACATTTAGCAGTATAGCAGAGTCATTCAGAATATGGGCTCAAAATATGTTAATTATGTCCTTCCGGTAGAGGCTTCTAAAAACAATTTAAAAAAATTAATTATGATTATAATTGTTGTTTAATAACTGTGGTTTAATACTGGGTAATTGGGACTTTTTATTATTTTTTTCCGCAGAGTGTTATAGTGACTTTTTAAATGAAGACTTTGATGTAAAGACTTACACTTCTCAATCTATTCATCAAGCTGTAATTGCTGAACAACTAGCAAAACTTGCCCAAGGAATCAGTCAGTTGGATAAAGAACTACACCTACAGGTAATTCTAATCTTTAGGATCATGCAGATAATTCAGCCTAAAGTGACAATTCAGCTTTTTTGTAATCTTATTATTAACTATAAATGCATATTTACATGAACAAATGCATACTTACTAATGTGACTTATTTTTCAAAGTACATTTTTGAATAGTTTTCTGTAAACCACTTCTTGTTAGTTTGAAAAACTAATATACCCACCTCCCCTAAAACCTTTTATTCATACTTCCTGTTCACTACCATAACTGATGTGCAATGAATATAGTGGGCAGAAAATAGAATGTCTTTGATAAAGATAATAGAAAATGGAATTTTGGAAATAAAACAATATGAATAAGAAAAATTAAAATGTTATACTGGCAGTTCATACTTTATAAGCACAAAGTGTAACATTTGTGATATTACAGAAAGTTGATCTTGGAGTTCCCAGCCTCCAGAACTGTGGGCAATAAACTTCTGTTGTTTGTAAATTACCAGTATAAGATATTTTGTTATAGTTGCCCCAAGGGACTAGAGAAAAGGCTGTGTCTCCTCCTGCTCTGTGTTGAGATATAAATGTATGTATGTGTTCCTGCTAATAAGTCATCTCAAATATACCATCATAACCTATAATTTTTTCTTTTGTATTAGTATTTATCCCCTTTCTCACCAAGAGAGACCTTCAATTCTGCAATTTAGTCACAAAGAAAAATTCCTAATAGTTAATTAGAGCAAAAACTGATTATTAATTCTTTTTTTTTTTTTTTATTTCAGCATATTATGGGGGTACAGATGTGATTATTCATTCTTGATTTTCAGGTTGTTGCAAGACATGAAGATTTACTGGCACAAGCAACTGGTATTGAGTCTTTGGAAGGTATATTTCTATTAATTTTTACAGATTATATAGAGCTAGACTGGGGATTGGCAAGCTTTTAAAGGGTCGGATAGTAAATATTTTAGATTTTGCCAGTCGTACAGCCTCTGTTGCAACTATTAAACTCTGCTGTTGTAGAGTGAAAGTAGCCAGATAAAATGTAAATGAATGTGTGTGACTATGTTTCAGTAAAACTTTACTAAAACTTTGCTGATGTCTGAGCTAAACTATCTTGGTTCAAATCCTTGTTTTACTACTTACTAGATGTGTGACTTTGGGCAAGTTACTTAACCTTTCTGTGCCTCAGTTTTCTATCTGTAAAACAGAGGTATTAATATGTACTAACATAGCATAATTCTGAGAATTAAATAAGTCAGCAAAATGCTTAGAACGATGCCTGCAAATGTTTAGTGCTCCTGTGTTAGTTAATTAAAATAACAAAAACATCAACACCAGAATGGGTATTAGTGGAAGGAGGCTTAAATTCTTTTCTTATTTTGCCTTTTTTGGAGTCTGTCTTTGCAACTTTTTTTTTTTTAGTCAATAATCAAATGTTTATTGAGTGTCTGTTTGGTATAAGTAACTTCTAGTTGCTATGGTGGAAAAATAGCAGACATAGTCCATGTCTTCAGGGAAACAAAACATATGCATGCACAGTACACGGCATTTATATTTTTAGTATAGTAGACAGAGCACTACACTTGTCTTTGCAACTCCTTTTAATGAAAGTAAAGTAGAATAATAATACATTGGATTTTCATTTTTATTAATCCTCTTATTTTTGTTTGGCTAAATCTTTTATGAATTTTTCATTCTCTCGATTAAATTGAACTACATCTCATAAATATGAAATGTTACTATTGTGTTTTACATTATTACTTGTATTGCGATTACTAATATTAATCATTGCACAGCAAAAGAAAGCTAAGTGATTTTTCCCTCTGTTGATCATAGTCTTAAGGAAGGGAGGAGATTGTTTTCTGTGATGCAATATTCTTTAATGCTTCCCCAAGTTTGTCATGCATTCAAAAGTATTAACTTATTCTTAGCATGTATAATGTTTCTAAGACATCTTGCTGAGGAACTTAGTATCTTTGGAAGTAATAGTTTGTTATTTGAAAGTCTGGTATATATATCCAACTAAGTTCTAGGAAAATTAAAAGGCTGTAAGTGCTGAGCCATAATAATAGAGTCTCTTTCCTCATGGAATTTTGAGAAATTTTTATTAAGCCTATTTATTTATTTTTGAGACAGCGTCTCACTTTGTTGCCTGGGCTAGAGTGCCATGGCGTCAGCCTAGCTCACAGCAACCTCAAACTCCTGGGCTCAAGTGATCCTCCTGCCTCAGCCTCCCAAGTAGCTGGGACTACAGGCATGTGCCATCATGCCTGGCTAATTTTTTCTATATATTTTTAGTTGTCCAAGTAATTTCTTTCTATTTTTAGTAGAGACGGGGTCTCGCTCTTGCTCAGGCTGGTCTCGAACTCCTGAGCTCAAATGATCCACCTGCCTCGGTCTCCCAGAGAGCTAGGATTACAGGCGTGAGCCACCGCACCTGGCCAAGCCTATTTTATTAAAAAGAGATATCCCCATTCATTTGTTCACACAATCAAATAGTAATTGAGAACTTATTAGGTACCAGGCATGTATGAACAATAGAAAAAGTCACCGTGGTTATGGAATTTATGTTCTAGGTAAGGAGGTAGGCAAAAAAAAGTACAAATAGAAAACTTCAGATATTTTTAAGTTCTACAAAGAAAACAAAACAAGTGATGGAGTGGAAGAAGGGGAGTTCTTAACTATCTAAGATGGTCAGGTAAGGCCTTTTTTTGGAAGATGACGTTTAAGCTGAGATCTAAATGATGAGAGGGAGCCATCCTGTGAAGATTTGGGGAGAAGAGTGTTGTAAGGTTAGGGAACAATAAATGAGAAAGCAGGATTTACCTTGGGATGTTTGAGGGGCAGAAAGAAGGCCAGAATGGCTGGTGTTTAGTGAATGAGGGAGAATCTTAGATGAGGGTTGGAAAGGAGTTTGGATTTCATTCTAAATGCAATGGTAAACCATTACAGGGTTTTAATCAGGGTATTTATATGATGAGATTAATACTCTAAATAGTTTACTCTGGTAGTTCTATAGAAAGGCAAGAATGGAATCAGGGTTACTGATTTGGAAGCCATTAGAATATTGGAATTTGATGATACCTTGGATTAGAGTGGTGGTGGGTGGGGTAAACTGAAGGCAGAGCTGATAGGATTTGTTGATGGGAGATGAAAGAGCTGACCTTAGACACCACAAGTGATTCCTAGGATTTTGGTCTGAAAAATTGGATAGATGATGGTAGGAGTAACTGAGATGGGATAGAATGGAGGGGATTATGAGTTTCAATGGTTGAGAGTGGGCAGTAGTTATAGTGGGCATCTTAAATTTGACATAACAGTGCTCAAGGAGAGAGACAGGGAGGGAGGAAGGGAACAAGACCATAGATAGGCAGATATAAAAAAAAAATCTTTCTATATAGATATATGTGTGTGTGTGTATAAAATCAGTATTTTATTGAACAGATAGTATTTAAAACACTGGGATTGAAGGAAATCCTAAATAATTGTAGATGGAGAAGAGAAGATAGTTGAAGCTCAAGTCTTGGGGGTACTCCAGCACATAGAGATCTAACAGAAGAAAAATAGGAGTAGTTAATGAGATAGAAGGAAACCCAGGAAATGTGATGCTTTGGAAGCCTAGACAAAAAAAATGTTTCAGGGAGGGAGTGGTCAACTGTCATGAATTTCTAAGAGTTCAAACGAGATAAAGACAGAACTGACAATAGAATTTGACAACTTGGAGATTTCTGTTGACCTTGATAAGATCTGTTTTGGTGGAGTATTGGTGAAAACCTATTAAGAGTGAGTTGTGGAGAGAATAAAATGTAAGAAAATGGTGTAACAAATGAAGGCAGTTTATTCTTGGAGGTTTATGATGAACAGACCATAAAACCAGCAGAAAAGTGGTAATCCAGAGAGGACTCTATTGGACTGAGCCATAGTAATGCATACTTATATGCTGAGAGGAATACTTACTAATTCTAATGTTACTTTAATATATGACAACATTTCTATTCTTAAATTTATTTAAAATATTATGTTTTCAAAACTACAGCTATGCCAGTTGAAGACAGAAACTGAGTTTTAAAGAATGGAATTCAAAATAATTAAATATCTGAATTAATTGAAAACCTAAATAATAAAATTTAAGATCTATCTTCCTGGAAATGTTTTTACAATTTTGTACAAATTTCTTCTTCATGTAAACCTAGACAGTACAGGCAATAATATATTTGCTGCCCATGGTTATTATTTGTATAGCACATAATTCATTAATTCAACAAATATTTTTTGACTATTTGTCCTGGGAAGAATTCCAAGTTAGGCTCTGATCATACAGTCGTGAATGAATAGATACTTAAGTATTAGGAATTTATTTGGGAATTTATAGTCCAGTGGGGGAGTAAAACATTAGACAGATATGCAGGTGGATATGTAATTACCTAATACAATTCGTGCCACAAAATAAAAGGATAATATGCTGTAGAAGGAAATAACAAGAGAATCTAAATTAGTTGGGAGGTCTGTTAGTAATTGTTTCTGTTACGCTGACTTGAAGTAATAATAGAAGTTTATCCAGTAGGAGCATGAGAATGGGGATGAATGTTGAACAGAGTATACCAGACAAAGAGTACACCATTTTCAGTTTGTGCCAGGGCTTGGAGACCAATGTGGACTATAGTTTTAATACAGGAGTGACAGGAGCAAAAGGGAGACAATGGAAGATCACTCAGGCTTTTTTTTTGTAATTGTGGTAAAATACACATAACATACATTTACAATTTGTACTATTTTAAAGTATAGAGTTCAGTGGCATTAAGTATGCTTACAATGTTTTGCAATCATCCCCACTATCTAGTTCCAGAACTTTTTCATTACCCCTAATGGAAATCCCATATCCATTAAGCGATCACTCCCCATTCCCTTTTAGGTTTCTTTGTGGGGCAAGGGTTGGAGCGTGAAACTAGTTATATAGGATTTTACAACAGCTCAGAGAAAAGATATTGATTGCTTGAATTAGGATGATGATGGAAAAAGTTGAATTTATTAATATATATATATTTTTAATTTAACTTTTTACTCAATTTGACTCCTTATAAATTTGTAAAGCCAATGTAAGCTGTTATGTTTTCCTAGGTGTTCTTCAGATGATGCAGACAAGAATTGGGGCTTTACAGGGAGCTGTTGATAGGTACTGTTCTTCATTTTATAAATAAATGGAATGGAAATATTTTATTCATTGATGTTTTGAAAATGATTTGATTTTCCTCTTTTTTTTCCTTTAGGATGAAAGCAAAAATTGTTGAGCCATACAACAAAATAGTGGCCCGTACTGCACAACTAGCAAGACTTCAGGTAGATTCTCACTTTTATTTCTTTATACTTTATTATTCATGTTTTCATAAGTGGGCAAATTTCAGGAGTATGAATTTGGAAGAAATAAGAGAATGGGAATAGAACAGAGGGCAGAAGTTGGAAGAGTTTGGAGAGCTCAGAAGAAGACAGAAAGACAAGGGAAAGTTTGGAATTTCTTAGAAATTGGTTAAGTGGTTGTGACCAAAATGCTGATAGAAATATAGATAGTAACGGCTATACTGATCAGGTCTCAGGTGGAAATGAGGAACTTATTGGGAACCGAAGCAAAGATCACCCTTGTTATGTCTTACCAAAGAACTTGGCAGCATTATGTCCATGCCCTTGGACTTTATGGACAGCTGAACTTAAGAGTGATCTTAAGGATATCTGGTAGAAGAAATTTCTAAGCGGGAAAGTGTTCAAGAAGTGGTGTGGCTGTTTCTAACAGCCTACAATCAGATATGGGAGCAAAGAAATGACTTAAAGTTGGAATTTATAATTAAAAGGGAAGCAGAGTGTAAAAATTTGGAAAATTCACAGCCTGGCCATGTGGTAGAGAAGGAAAAAGTGTTTTCAGGCAAGGAATCCAAAGATGCAGCTGAGCAACCACTTGCTAGAGAGATTAACCTGGATAAAAGGAAGTCAGGTGCTAATAGTCAAAACAATGGGAAAAAGGTATGGAGGGCATGTCGGAAATCTTCACAGCTCCTCCCATCACAGGCCCAGAGGCCTAGGAGGACAGAATGGCTGGGTGTGGGAGGTTAGACCCAGGGTACCTCCTTGGGAAGCTCCATGCTGCTTTGGCTCCAATCCTTTGGCTCTAGCTCTGGCTCAAAGGGCCCCAGGTGATGCCCAGGCTATTGCTCCAGAGGATATAAGCCTTGGCAACTTCCAGGTGGTGTAAGTCTGCAGGCACTGCAGAATTCAAGAGTGGTGGAAGTTGGCAGATTTCACCTAGACTTCAGAGGATATATCAGAAAGCCTGGATGCCTAGGCAGAAGCCTGCTGCAGGTGCAGAGCTCTCGTAAAGAGCCTCTAACAGGGCAGTGCTGAGTGGAAATGTGGGGTTAGAGCCCCTACAGAGAGGCCTCATAGGGGTACTGCCTAGTGGAGCTGTGGGAGCAGGACCATCACCTTCCAGAGCCACCAGCAATGTGCAGTCTCAGCTTGGAAAGGCCACAGGCATTGGACTCCAACCTCCAAAGCCACAGGGACAGGGCTGCTTGAGGCCTTGGGAGCCAACCCCTTGCATCAGTGTGCCTAGAATGCAGGACATGTAGTCAAAGGAGATTATTTTGGAGCTTATGCTTTAATGTCTGCCCTGCTGGGTTTTAGACTGGTGTGGGGCTTGTTACCCCTATCTTTTGGCCAATTTCTCCTTTTTTGAATGGAGAATTTTACTGAATGTTTGTTCCACTACAGTACATTGGAAGTAAATAACCCATTTTTGATTTTACAGGCTCATAGCTTATAGGGAACTTGCCTTGAGCCTCAGGTTAGACTTTGTACTATTGAGTTGGTACTTGAACAAGTTGACTTTTGGCGACTATTGGGATGGAATGATTGTATTTTGAATGTGAGAAGGACATGAGATTTGGGGGGCCAGAGGTGGAATGCTATGGTTTGGATATGATTTGTTTGGCCCTGCCAAGTCTTATGTTGAAATTTGATCCCCAGTGTTGGAGGTAGGGCGTGGTGGGAGGTGTTTGAGTTGTGGGAGCAGACCCTTCCTGAATGGCTTGGTGTCATTGTCCCAGGAGTGAATGAGTTCTCACTCTTAGTTTCCATGAGAACTGATTGTTGGCACCTCTTCTTTCTCTCTTGCTTCCTGCTCTCACCTTGTGCTGGGCTCCCATCGGCCTTCTGCAGTAAGTGGGAGCAACTTGAGGCCCTCACCAGAGGCAGATGTAGGCACTGTGCTTCTTGTACGGCCTGCAGAACTGTGAGGCAAATAAACCTCTTTTCTTTATAAAATTAACCAGTCTCAGGTATTCCTTTGTAGCAATACAAATGGACTAAGACAGAAGGTAGCTTTGATTTTTTTGGAGGAGTTTGAGCGATTGGTATTAGTTCTTTAAATGTCTGGTAGAATTCAGAAGTGAAGCCATCAGGTCCTGGGCTTTTCTTTGATGGGAAACTTTTTATTACTGAATCAATCTCCTTACTAATTATTGGTCTGTTCAGATTTTCTGTTTCTTTTTGATTCAGTATTGGTAGGTTGTATGTGTGTAGAAATTTATCCATTTCTTCTAAGTTCCAATTTTTTTTGTTCTGTTTTGAATTTTCTTGGGGAAAAAGACATATAAATTTATTTTAATGTGTATGCATGGGAGCCTCCGGAAGGAAGACCCAATTCCCCAGTGAGGTTTAGAAGCTTGTATGCCTTTCTGAAAAAATAGATTATGGGAGGGGGCAAAAGAGGAATTCCACTGAAGGCCAATAAAGGATTACTAAAGAAGAAGAATGGATGGGCAAAGATTAACTGATAAATAGTTCACTTTGGAACTGGAATGAGTCTGAGAGACCAGACATTATCTTGTTAGAATCTTCAAGTGTGATCACATTTCTGGTGTTACAGGGACTGGAAGAAAAGAACAATTGTTCTTACTGAGTCTGGATCTTAGGCAGATAAAGAAACTTCGACTTTTTTGGGAGAGCCAATGGTGGGGTGGAGAAGGTCAGAAAGACCTTGAGGTTTCTTCATTCAGTCTAGCATATCAAAATGCCATATTTTTGGGTACTGGTTTGTGAGCCCCAACATTCTCCTATCTGGAATGTCCCTAGAAATTTCACATACTAAAAGCTGTGTTGGTGACTGTGGAGGTAAAATTGAGTTAAAAGCTGAGTGGCAAAGGATGCTCTTAAACCAGTCTTCCATTTCTGGAAATAGGCCAGTCCCATTAAACAGCTGTGTCTCATTTCAGGAAATGACATTGCAGATGAGTTTTCAAACGGAAGAAAATACAAAGGTTAATATTTGGAACAGTTTATAAAACAATTTCCTTAGAATTTGGAGGGCATCCAGTTGGAGTGTCTAGATGTTAAACTGGAAGCATCTTCAGTTAAACTGGAAGTAGGCAGTGGCAATCTGACAGAGTCTTCTTACCTGGAGTTTGTATGTGACAAGGTATGCTTGCAGGGCCTCAGGAAAAGATAGTGGCAATTTCATTGAGTCCAAGTCAGAGAAATGGAAGAAAAATTTGGAAACATTTGAAGACTTGTAGCCAGAAAAGAATTCAAGATTCAGTCCAAATTATAGGCAGGTAACAAAAATTCAAAAATGATGGACAAGGCTAGAATCTAATAATGGGTTTTTTTTTTTGCAACCTGATTTTCTCTCAGTTCCCCATTTTTACCTAAGACAAATCATAGTAGAACCAAGCAGGGTGGAGGGGGGTGGAGGAGGTGGGTGAAATCATACCTAACAGGTACGATGTACACTATCTGGGTGATGGACACACTTATAAGTTTGACTCAAGCAGTACAAAAGCAATGCAAGTAATCAAAACATTTGCGCCCCTGTAATACTCTGAAGCTTTTTTTTAAAAAAAGTATTATTTTTTAGGGG